GGTATTCAAAATTTTTAAATATTTTAATGTTTAAAAGATACAAGTAGGTATACAATATTATACATGTAGGTATATTGTATACTTACTGAATTCTGACATTAGAATTTAGAACACTGAACATTGTGTTAAAAAAAAAAATAAATTTTGTTTTTATTTGTGTTAAAAAAAATTTCAATGTTTCACGTTTTTGTGAATAGCATAGCATACCTAAACATCTAGTCTGAAGATAGTTTCCTAATGGAATAACTGAAGAATAATCTGGAAAGTGTTGACTTAGGTGTGGCTGGAATCGAATAATGGAGAACTATTGTCTTAAAGAGGAACGAACTAATGAATCTACTAATGCCAGAATAAAGTCATGTGATGATAATAATTATGACTAAACCGTATACGTCATACAGTCGAATTCCGATGTAAAAAAAGAAAAAGAAAACTAAACAGCAATCGATACATTTTGTAAACCTATAGGTATAATATTAGTAGTTGACATAATAACGACGATTACAGACAAAAAACTGTTAGGTAGGTACTATAATAACTGTTACTATAATACTAATATATAATCAAATCGTGAGTATTACCCATGTGACTCACGATAGGATAATATACTATAATAAACGATCCATATTGATCATATTGTCGATAAAAAAATACTTAACCGTCTTATATTATAGTAATATTAGTAACTATACTAAGTAAGTAAGTATATAAATTAAACAAAATAAATATACCACTTTGAGTTCATGAAGTTTATAAAGCCACGACTGTTTTAAAGTAAATGTATATATAGTATAACAAGGCTGGGAAAGTTAACGTTTTTTTTAACTCGTTAAGTTAAGTTATTTTAAAATAATTAAGTTAAGTTAAGTCAAAAGTTACTCTTATTTATTTTCGCTAACTCGTTAAGTTAAAAGTTAACTTTGATAAAAAATTAACTTAACTTAGTGTAAAGTTAAAATTTGTCTAATTTACAAAAATAAAAAAAACCAGACACATAATATGGTTGATTAGATAGTTTTTCTTTACATCCAAGAAAATGACTGGGGAAACTTAAAATGATATATCAATGTAAAAACACATTCAAAAATTTGCATTGTTCTTAAATTTTATATGAAATGCTACAGATTATTTAAACCAAAATACATATATTGTCATCGTGATATCGACTGTCGAACATGAAGAATTACAAACGACTCGGGAGAACCAGCTGCAGTGATCTACTCGCTAGGTAAGTGTTTGAATATTTATACAATAAGCGTCGATAACTCAAATATCATTAGGCAGATAGGTATAACACAGTGGTAGGGCGATCTTACGCGTAAATTTCCAATATTTATCATAACACACACGTATCCCACATAAATACCATTACCTTCCCCTACCGCCTATTTTCCCCTTACTAAAATTGTATTATATGGTGTGCCCTCCATGATTTCGGTCAGTACGTCACCGTCCGTTTATAATGTTAATATTATAGAACCTAGGTATTGGTAATATTGTGAAGGAATATCATCAGATCTTAAAGTTCCGTTACAGTCCGTAACAGTTCCGTTCGCGAGGGCGTATACATTATACCACATTGGTGTTGTTAGGTGCAACAAACGAGTGTTGTTACATAATTTTACGCATGTAAATACATCACCTCCTTTCTGAGGACACGCGCCTGTTTGTTTCTCGAGGATTAAGCTGCAAGGTAACATGAACATATCAGTCACTGGTTTCTTATTGGAATAATGTCAGTTACGTATACATATAAGCGTCTACAAACGGCCGTTATTAAGAATTTATTGTGTGTAAATACCATTGTGTGTGCCTAACCAACTATAGCTATAAATACCGTTGTAAAATCCAAGTGAAACCTTGGTAAAATAACCGCTTATAATATGCCAACAATTTATTGTTGCTTTTATATGTATAACTGTACCTAACATTACAGTACACATAGATACCTGCGATGTATATTGTTTTCATTGTCCATTTCAATGTTAATAATATAGTATGTTATAAAATAGTTTATGTATTCGTACAACGTATGACTAATAATTTTTTTGTATTTATAAAGTTTTTGCAAAAAATTCGTGCTTATATATAATAAAACCACTCGCACTTACTTTTGTATACCTACCTATTATACAAGTATTATTATATAAACTATTATAGAGAACTTACGTTTAAAAAAAAACATACTTACCAGCGATAAGTTTATAACCATATAGTTACATCCATTGTAAAATTAAATTGCACTCTACCATGCTACAAAACCTATATCAGATCAATGGGATGCAAAAAAAAAGTAGTTGGTGTGTTTTTAGATCTAAAAAAAGAATTTGATTCTGTTGACCATGATATTTTAGTAAAAAAACTAGAATACTGTGGTGTGAGAGTTGTTGAACTAAGTTTTTTTTAAGTCTTATCTCACAAATAGGTATCAAGTTGTTAAAATAAATAATTGATTTAGTAATGAGTTAGCTATAAAGTATCCAGTACCTCATTGTACAGTACTATTTACATTAATGGACCCCTTAATAAAAATATTCATGGTGAAATATTGTGCTTTTCAGATGATACAGTTATTATATTTAGTAATGACTGCTTGAATAGTGTCGAGGAAAAAATAAATGTTGGTCTAAAAAATGTCAAATCTTATTTGGACAATAATTCACTTCAGATTTATTATGATGAATCCTCTTTTTTGTATTTTAAAATTAACAGTAACCATAATACGGAGTTAAATACATTTATAAAACATGACAATTCTTGTACATTTTACACTAGTATTTGTTGCTGCTCTTCAATTAAAAATGCATGTTCTGTTAAATATTTAGACCTGTATCTTTATGACCACTTAAAATGGCATATACATCTATATATAACCCATAAATGTGTTACTTTAACTAATAAGGTTAACCACTTTGAGTTCATGAAGTTTATAAAGCCACGACTGTTTTAAAGTAAATAATATATATATAGTATAACAAGGCTGGGAAAGTTAACGTTTTTTTTTAACTCGTTAAGTTAAGTTATTTTAAAATAATTAAGTTGAGTTAAGTCAAAAGTTACTCTTATTTCTTTTCGCTAACTCGTTAAGTTAAAAGTTAACTTTGATAAAAAATTAACTTAACTTAGTGTAAAGTTAAAATTTGTATAATTTACAAAAATAAAAAAAACCAGACACATAATATGGTTGATTAGATAGTTTTTCTTTACGTCCAAGCAAATGAATGGGGAACCTTAAAATGATATATCAATGTAAAAACACATTCAAAAATTAGCATTGTTCTTGGGACGAAAATTAACTTAATTTATATATTTTTGAAATAAAATTAACTTGAAGTTAACACATTAATCTTGAAAAAAAAAGTAACGAGTTAATTAACTTAATTAAAATTAACTTAACGTTTTAACTTAATTTTAATTTTTAACTCGTTAATGCCAAGCCTTGTAGTATAATATTACATATTTTCAAATCGTCACTCATCGCCACTAACTTTATTATTATAAAATATATAGATATATATCTCATGAAATACGCAAAATAAATGACAGTTTACACAAGAACAGAAAACAAGCAAAATTTGCAAAATAAATTATCTTTCGGCATTAGTAAGTTAAATAAGAATAATGACATGACAAATGAAGTTTAATCTATTTAAACATATTTCTGTGTTAAAACTCTAAAAGTAAACCGTAGGACCATTATTTATCCCTTAATCAGAGTGCTAAATAGATTAATAACGGATTACGTGTCTTTTGCAGTATCCTAATGTATCCTTATAGTAAGCCTCTATTTACTTGTTTTTTTGTCATTTATTTTGAACTTTTTTTGCTCACTTATTAGAGTATTTATTCTGCAGGTGCATCAGGTATATTGTAGGTTGTACTTGTACGTTCGTGGTCTTAGTACGTGTTGTCTTTTATTACCAAAATATTGATTACGGAAAAATTGTAAAATCAATTACGTATTTATTTTGTTTTCGATTGATATGATGATGTTATGCTCTACTCATAGATATATACAACAACTAGATAGCCGTCTTTATGCTACAGTTGTGAACAATGTTAGGCCGCCATTTATAAAGCAGGCAATGTTTACATTTATTTTACATTTATTTATATACATATATATATTTATCTATACACAATATATACCTACTATGATAATATTATTTAGTAAACATTGTCTGCTTTGTAAATGGCAGCCGACTTCGATGACAAGAAGGAGACGGCTATCTTAGTTCTTGTATATATCTATGGCTTTACTTTCCCCACACAATCAATTTGTACCTACTACCCATTTGACCTCTTTACGAACTCCGTCGTGTGTCCCCCAGCCCAGTACCATTATTTGCTGTTTTTTGCTAATATGTAAGTTTTAAATCTTAATTCGTATTTTTAAATTTTCCAATATAATATCACTCTGTAAGTTAAATAAGAATGATGACATAATGAAAAATGAAGATTTATCTATTAAAACATATTTCTGTGTTAAAACTCTAGAAGTGATTAACCATGACAGTCATAAATACAATTTGGACCATGGTCATTACTCTTTTACAGTTTCAATATATAAATACAGAATTTATTGAACCATAATTCGTGTAGTGAATAATAATAGATTGCTGATCAGTACCGCACTGGCATCACGGTCTTATATTATACATACTATCTAAAATAGTAAACTAAACTATTCTCAGATGAAGAAATGCAACTAGGACGTCATAATAAATAAAAATAATAATATGAAAATATAACACAGATATACGTTTTATTCTGACTACTAAAATACTGTATACAACCAGTATTAACTAGACAAAAATATACATGCAAACAATAGATTCACTAACTTCTAACAGATAATTTTTTAATAAATGAAATCAAACATAATACGGTATAATTTAGAATATTTATTTAATGATAAAACTAATATATAGGTATTATTTTCGTTTACTACAATCAAATCATATTTAAATCATATCATTAATAAACATTTATTGATTCACCTATAAATTACAATCTCTTGTTGTAGCATATTGGCAACCAAAATCTCGCCAAAATGACAATCTTTCTCTTATAAGAAACATAGCAGATATCGATGTACCTAACCTCGGAATTAAAAATGCCAAACCGACTCCCGGAATAATTGCCGTTAGAGAGAACCCCAAACTAGTTGACTTGATGACTGTCGTTGCTGTTATTGTTTTTTCTAAGGCTTCTGAACACTGCATGTAGTCTCTATGATCCTTGTCTAACGAACTTTCCATTTCTTCAAATTGTTCTTTCAATTTTAAAGCAAACCGACTGGACATCATAATTTGCGCGAACGCTAACGCCGCACCGGTTGTCGGTATTGCGCTCAGTGTTGTCAATACCGTGTAAATGGATTCCTGTGCTATTAACGCCGTTCGTAGATCTTCAATCTGTTCATCATTTCCACAGTACGTGGAAACATTGCGTGAACATAATGCAATTGCTAACAATATGTAAAAAAACGCAGAACTTATTAATTTCATTTTTATTGGCAAGTATGTACAGCGCAAGTTGTGCAAATATTCCAAGGTGTACGCCTGATATTCGTACGAGTCGCAATGTTTCGGGTGAGGGTCTGTGAACAAACAATACATACATGTTATACAATACGCATAACGAGGTAATCTGTCAAAAAGTCCATTTTGAAAAAAGTTGGACAAAAAGTCCAAAAATACAAAATATTCTATTAAATATAATATTTATTGAAAAAATTTAATCAATTATTTTTTATAATACCTCATATTTGAATTTGATTATTATGATGTATATATTATTCATGACTTGTTGGAACTAAACTATTCTCATATTAAGAAATGCAACTAGGACGTCATAATAAATAAAAATAATAATACGAAACTATAACACAGTAATATATATATAAAAAATAATATTATCTGTGAATTATTAACTGTTCCCTCTGTAGTTGGAAACTAGCAAATATTTTTAAAACTTACAGTTAATATTATAAAAATTATTACAGGTTGTGTTTATATACCATCAGATACATATTCTGACATTTATTCAAAGCATTGTGATATAATTGAGTCTATTCATTTTAAATTTCCAGCGCATTATTTTGTAATAGTTGGTGATTTTACTTTAAGTAATTTTGACTGGTCTGTTGATCCAAACACACAAAATCATAGATCTATTTTCTAATTTATTAAATTAATTATAATTGTGAAAATTATTATTTAACGAGATAATGAAATTAGTAGTTGAAAAGCCGAGTGACGTCGTAGAGCCGATGAGTGATCAGCCGCCCCTGTTTACTTGTAGAAGTAGTTAGATTTACACACTGATTTTTATAACTTACGATAGTATATCAGAATTTTTTTCTATGATCCTAAGTAATTTATGTGCTTAAGGCGATGGTGTTATTTAAAATGTAATATATCTGGTTATTGAATAGGTAGGTACATATTATAAGTTATAATTAAGTAAAATTATTTAGTTCATGACTCGCGTTGTATTACCTACCGTACAAACTAATTTTTACGAAATTTACAATAATATTTTTATCTACTATAATGAAACTAGAAAGTATATCAAAACTATAATCACACCAGTGTAATAAACACAAGAAAACATTTAAGGTTACACAAAATAAATAAATTATTCGTTATAATTATATATCGTTATTGTAATATATGAATAAGGTGTAGCGAGCTGTGACTACCTGACCAAATAACATATCTAATTACCTACCTAAATCACATAATAATATGTACGTAATCATAAAATATACGCGCCGCGTAAATAAAAATATAGTTATAATACTCGAGCGCTCGAGTAACATTAATAATAATAATATCGATGGCACCGTATATACCTACAGTACGTGTGTAGTAGTAGAAGTATCGCGGCAATATCATATATAGAGCACGTAGATAATAATATCGTGCGCGTGACCATGAGTGACGTGCGTCAATATATATATGACTACGTATATAAATAATTTTTTATTGTGCCCGTGCAGAAATTGTGCTGTTATATTAAATAAGACCACAGAATTCAATATAACAATAAATTATGTTAGACATCCAGCGTGTGCAAAAGCGTGACACAATCCCACGCTAAGCCTAACCGCAAGACGACCAAGGTCTCGCGAATTATAGAAGGGATAGGGACTGAAACATCGAGGAGAGCTGATGGCGAAGCGTTCAATTTTTTTAATTTAATTTTTTTATTTTTGCGTCTGTCAACACGGTTTGGGGCAGTAAAACTGCTTCGATTTTCTTCAACAGTATCTTGTTCGATGGGAAAGTGAATATAGTTGATGCATTCGGGAGCTCAAATTTTAAATTTCCCAATAGTTTTCACAAGCGTCGGGAAAAACAACGTAAAAATAAAGGAAAACGGGAATTTTTACTCAAAATCGGTTTTCCACAAAATCTATTTTGGTTTTTGTGGAACTCTAAAACAAATGAATGTATATACATGAAATGTTCAATGGTTGTTTATATTGGCATTTTCTATACACGATTAAATTTTCAAAATATTATGATTTGTTTCGAACATTTTCATTTTCCATTTTTTTTAGTTTATTTTCTAAAAATATCAATAAAATTTTATTTGTTGTTTAAAAAATGTAATAGAAGGCTTCCTATTATATTGTTTGAAAGGCAGATGAAAAATATTAAAAATCCTTCATTACAGTTTTTTTTTTTATGAGCATTTAAAGTTCAAAAATTGACAAAATATGGAAAAATCACGAAAATTAACAAATTATTTTGATTTCAGAATTCGTAAAAATTTTTCTTTTTAAATCGAAGTTGTACACTTTAATACACGACTCCTTATAAGATTATCTACCTAAATCAAAAAAAAAAAAACAATGTCTATAAGAAAGTCAAATTAAATTTTTATGAGCGTTTGATATTCAAATTTTTACAACATTTATATTCACTCGATTTCTCATGTAACGATTTCCTTATTTTGTTGAAATTCAAAAACAAATAATTGTAGATACATGATAATGTCACTGAATTTTCAGATTAGCATTTCCTATACACTGTACAATTTTGAAAATATTTTGACTCTTTTTGAGCTGTTTACGGACATTTTCAGTTTTCAATTTTTTTATTTTTTTTTTCTATAAATATCAATAAAGTTTTATCTGTTGGGCCAAAAAGTGTAAAAATTTAATATAAGGCTCCTGGTACATTGTTACAATATCAGTTGAAAAATATTTAAAATACGTATCAACAATTTTTTTTATAATCATTTAAACAGTGTTGAGCAGTATCTAGATAAATGTATCTAGATAAAACCAGCTCTTCATCTTTCTAGATAAATAAAAATTAGTATCTTGTCATCTAAGATAAACTGTATACCTACTAGCGGCCCTATATTTGAAAATTTCGGACTGCCCATTCATTTTATTCTCGCTACCATCTTAGCAAAAGGATGTATTAAAAATACATATTACATATTATAAATATATTTTTATATCCATATGTATCATATTTAACATGCATTCAATAAAACACAAAATACTATCTTTAATAAAATCATAAAATTAAATAGCTAATAAATAATAAAAACTTAACTTACTTTTTATAATTAAAATCTAACAATGCATAGACTTCTTGATTTTTCATCATGATAGTAATTGAATAAAAAGTCGAACTTTGAAAACTTCAAGAATTTGTGTTAAATAGGAAAATAATAAAAATGTAACTTAGTAATAATAATAATAATAATAATAATAATAATAATAATAATAATTTATTTACGGAAATAAATTCCAGTTACAAAAATATTGTAGTGACAGTTTGTTTTAAGTGCACAAAATATGGATAATACATAATGATGAATAGGTGGGTAATTTAGCTAGCTTTAATATAAAATATTAATAAGAGAGATTTTATATCACACCCAAGCGGTATACCCAATTTGAATCGATAAAAACATTCGCGTGAACAGTCCCAAAATTTCTATTTTTTAACTTTTATCCTAAACTATGATACCTAGCTAGAGATTTGGTTGATAACTCATTAAAAAGGGATTATCAGGTAGACACTAAATGTGGAATTAATTTTTTTTTTTTAATTATTTAATTTTTCACAGATAAAAAAAAAGAGTTATTTTCTCTAGATTTCATTTAGAGATGTAGATCTCCGAAACTGGAGAACGGATTTTGTTATTTGGGGTCTTGTTAAATTCACATTTGCTAGGAGAATTGCAGTGAAGATTTTCAGAACTTTATCTAAAATCGTTAATTCATTACAAAGCTGTAAAGATGAAAAACATCAAAAAACGCCCAATAAAATTTGTTTTAATTTATTTTAATGTTCTGTAGTGAATTAACTATTAAAGATAAAGTTCTGCAAATCTTCACTGCACTTCTCCTAACCAATGTGAATCTAACAAGACCAAAATCAACGAAATCCGCTGTCCGGTTTCGGAGATCTATCTCACTAAATAAAAATGAAAATGATTTTTTGTGGGGCTGTTCACGCCGACATTTTTCTGGATTCATATTGTTTGACCGCTTGGGTGAGATTAAATCAGTTAAAAAATTTCTAAAAATTCAAAATCAAGAAAGTTTACATGCCGATCCCTGACTTGGCAATTTTTGTTTTGTAGACCGTAGTGCACACACGTTCAAATCGTAGTGCACACTTGTATATTCGTAGTGCACATTGTGTGTCGTGGTGCACATAAAAATAGGGCCTGCTATCTAGATAAATATACCTAGATAAATAAATAATTTTTAGTTTCGATTGATCTGTTGGTAGTTTGGTACTTTTAATTTTTTTTATTTTATCTTGTCATTGATCAAACAAAATATTATTACACTATTTCTGAAAATAATCGTGAATATATTAATTTTTTTCTTTGCAGTAATTTTATTGACAATAATAATATTATAATAGTATAATATTCATACGAATGTGTTTTGTTCTTTGTTATTTATTATTACGTTTCTCGTGTAATGTTGATTACTAGAAATGGTTTCAATGAAATAATATCGTTCTTGTCTATTTATATAAAGCTAAATAATATTGTTATTACGTAATAGTGTAACATTTCCATGTTCAGTTTGAGTTGAAGTAAAAAAGTAGGTAGACAGAAATAAATCATTGTTTAACAATTAAATAAGGAATTGCATAGAAAAATGTTGTTTATTAAAATGAATGGTCATGAAATAGTAAAATACTAAAAGAATTTGTCTAAAATAATTAAGAAATATATTTATTTTTTGCGCATTTTAAACAAAAAATAAAAATATCTATTATGATATCTAGATAAAAAAAATATGTATCTTTATCTTAATCTAGATAAAAGTAAAAATGATCATCTGAATCTCAATATAGATAATTGTTTACGAAATTATCTTTATCTTATCTAGATATTATTTTTGTTATCTGGGCTCAACACTGCATTTAAATATCGAATTTTGACAATATTAATAAAAATTTAAAATTAAACAATTGTTCTGTAGTTAATAATTTATAAAATGTTCAACTTTTATATCTAAGGATTGAAAATTTAAAACGAGATTCCACGTAAGTAGTTCATTCTGTTACCAAAAAATCTAAAAATACATAAGCACAGTTTATTTTTATAGTCATTATAAGTTCAAATTTGGACGAAATTACATATTAAAAACCTAGAAGACTTTTGAAGAATACCGGGAATTATAAAATTTGGGCTCCCGAATGCACAAACTACATTCACTTTCCCATCGAACAAGATACTGTTGAAGAAAATCGAAGCATTATTTCGACTACTTATCGTGTACCTAGTGTATACAGACACACATAATTTTTCAGTATAATAGTACAATCATATATTATACATCATTGTAAAATCAATACATTCATCGTTCCGCTCCAAATCTAAAATGTAATAGAATATCTCGTGTTTTTAGACTCTTTGTCCAAAAATAAAAACGTGTTGTTACTTTTTGTTCGACAATCAAAAAATGAAATATTACTTTTTGTCCAACTTTTTTCAGGACGGATTTTTTGTCCCTGGCTAAAATTCGTATAACATTGTAGTAGCGATATGAGCACATAATACGTTTTATAAAAATAGCTTATATATTTTTTGTGTCACAGCAATACTGGTAACTGATGAAAACCATAAAACTGAACGAACACTTAACAACGTCTCCGATTGGACCAAGCGTTGGATGATCAAAATTAACAGCGACAAATCGGTACACGTAAATTATACATTGCGTAAAAGTGTATACTACCCAGTATTGTTGGATCAGCAGATCATCCCACAAAACGATACTGCAAAATACCTGGGTATGCACCTCGATTCCCGATTAAATTGAAAACATCATGTTCGCCAGATAAAACTGCAAATTAAACTGAAATTGAGGAAACTTTATTGGCTGATCTTTAGACACTCCGAATTAGATCTCACATGCAAACGTATTTTGTATGTAGCGATAATTAAACCAATATGGGCCTATGGAATACAGCTGTGGAGCTGTGCCAGTAAGTCTAATATTGAGATTATCCAACGTTGCCAAAACATTGCTCTCCGTACTATTGTCACAGCATACCGCTAAGATAGAAATTACATTATCCACCGAGATTTGATGATGACCTCCCTCCAGGACGAGATTTCCACGTTTGCCAGAAAACACGAGAAAAGACTAGATAGACACACCAATCCAGCAGGAATTCGACTACTTGATAACTGTCAAGACATTGGGCGTCTCAAACGCCGAAGACCATAATATGACTTCGTATAAATTATTAGACTAAGGCCTCTTCACTGGGAGTGATAACCAGAACATGTTTTTTGTATATAATATCTACTAAATATTTATTCATTAATTTATTAATATTTAATATGTGTGTACACCTCTTAAATGTATTGTTAAAGATCATTGATTGTCATAATAAAAAAAGCTTTCGGGCTGTTTAAAAAAAAAAAAAAAATGTTTTGTGTGAAGCGGCAAATTATAAACTGTGTAACTAATTAAGATTGCTTGCTCATCGTAATCTTTATCCTACTACTGAATATTATTAGTATTGATAATTTGTCTTCGATTGTAAAACATATGTATATTCATTATTCACTTACGTCTTGTTGTAGTGAGCAAGATGTGTAGACTCTCGTTGGAATGTGTACGTCTCTGATTGGTATGAGTCGATACACGTTATTAACACCTTACGATTTACACTAAAATATCCTGGTGTTAGAACAAAATCAATAGTAAGTTAAGTTTGTGAAGAAAGATTAATTTCGTGTCAAAAGAAAAACTGGTCGGTGTTGTGTGTTTTCGCTGAGGGCGCCGTCGACCTGGTCATCTGTGTTGATCTGCCGTGTTGTGCTGAGTGTACTACTGTACTGAGTCTATTGTCTGTGCGTCGTGTTTATATAAGGAAGTGATTGTTTTATCCCCACTCTATTGTTATTACGTAACGTCAGAATAGATTGTTCACGTTTTTTTATGTGAATTGCGGATGTGCTAGAATTCATGTTGTGTATCCATATATGGGCATTTTTAAGTGTATGGACGTCTCGGAATGATTGGTATGTAACCATTAAGGAATGTTGGTTGCCTAATAATCTTTTATAATATGTTTTAATTCCGTTTGTGTTCTTACACCCAAGTATGAGCTTACCTGGTACATTAATTTTACAAGTTTACTCAAATATAGTGTTGTAATATACTCAACTACAACAGTTGGATTGATGGGAGTATTTTGAATAAAACCACGAAGGTTTTATGAGCGTTGGAAAATCTAATTATTACAACATTGGATATTCACTCGATTTCTCATGTAGCGATATTCTTATTTTGTTGTAATTTAAAAACGAATAATTATAGATACATGAAAATTTCACTGAATATTTATTTCATCAATTTTTATAATAAGACGAAGACAATATACGATATACAAGAATAAGTTTAGAGTACCTAAATTGATATACCAGTTTTACGTTTTCTTAAGGTGATCGCAGCACAATTATTTTTCTTACGTTTTACACCAACAAGAGGTAGTACATTTTATAATTGCAATTGCAGTTTTTCCTTTAAGGCATGTTTTTGAGAAAAAAACAGGTCACGGCAGGTCACTCCATAATACTTTGTTTTAATTAAATTACAGTATCGATGTTAGCTATTTATACATTTTATATTAACAGTTTAGCAAGTTCTACATAGGATTTCCCAAATTCTTTCTCCCAAGATCTGAAATTTTTGTTTTTTTACCTACACTTAATGCATATCAACAATCGTAACCAAGCCGAAATATGAAATAAAACCACTAGCACTTACGTTTGTATACCTATTATAAAAGTATTATTATATAAATTAGGATAGAGCACTTACCTAATTTTTTATGATTAATATACATATAAATTAAAACAGCAGAAACATATTTAATTATTTGAACATTTTTGTATTAGTATATTGTGTTAAATATAATAAGTAATATATTAATATGAAATAAATATGAATACGGACAAATATTTATAGTTAGTGTTTATTTGGATTGTTTAGATTATTTTTTAACTACGAAACACGGTTATCTACTCAAGCTATAAATATAAGGTTAATAATTCCCAATTACGGTTGGTCGAACTGTTATCTAAATTGTAGGTATTATATTTGTTCAAATATATAGTTTAGGTACTTATTTGTGATATAGTACATTTTGTATATCACTAAATAATTTTTCGTAAGACTTCATATATTATTCTGCTTAAAATATATTACTAAAATTATTATTACTTATTCTACTTAAAATATTTTAAAATTGAAATGTTATGTAGTCGTCCTCTTTGGATTGTATCATTTTGCCATAAAACTCTTACCTCATTTGAATTAAAATAAGAGTTGAATCCGTCTCTTATAGCAAATGCTTCATTTGTTGCATTTCCCCCAACTCTGGGTATGTTTTGCATACATAATGTTGTGTCATTGTTTTCCAATTCTCCTGGTTGCCACAAATTGTCATCATCTCCTCTTAGAAAATTATGTAAACAAACTGTTGCCATTATTACTTTGTCAAGATGGATGACCTAACAAGTAATTTTAACCTTATTAGTTAAAGTAACACATTTATGGGTTATATATAGATGTATATGCCATTTTAAGTGGTCATAAAGATACAGGTCTAAATATTTAACAGAACATGCATTTTTAATTGAAGAGCAGCAACAAATACTAGTGTAAAATGTACAAGAATTGTCATGTTTTATAAATGTATTTAACTCCGTATTATGGTTACTGTTAATTTTAAAATACAAAAAAGAGGATTCATCATAATAAATCTGAAGTGAATTATTGTCCAAATAAGATTTGACATTTTTTAGACCAACATTTATTTTTTCCTCGACACTATTCAAGCAGTCATTACTAAATATAATAACTGTATCATCTGAAAAGCACAATATTTCACCATGAATATTTTTATTAAGGGGTCCATTAATGTAAATAGTACTGTACAATGAGGTACTGGATACTTTATAGCTAACTCATTACTAAATCAATTATTTATTTTAACAACTTGATACCTATTTGTGAGATAAGACTTAAAAAAAACTTAGTTCAACAACTCTCACACCACAGTATTCTAGTTTTTTTACTAAAATATCATGGTCAACAGAATCAAATTCTTTTTTTAGATCTAAAAACACACCAACTACTTTTTTTTTGCATCCCATTGATCTGATATAGGTTTTGTAGCATGGTAGAGTGCAATTTAATTTTACAATGGATGTAACTATATGGTTATAAACTTATCGCTGGTAAGTATGTTTTTTTTTAAACGTAAGTTCTCTATAATAGTTTATATAATAATACTTGTATAATAGGTAGGTATACAAAAGTAAGTGCGAGTGGTTTTATTATATATAAGCACGAATTTTTTGCAAAAACTTTATAAATACAAAAAAATTATTAGTCATACGTTGTACGAATACATAAACTATTTTATAACATACTATATTATTAACATTGAAATGGACAATGAAAACAATATACATCGCAGGTATCTATGTGTACTGTAATGTTAGGTACAGTTATACATATAAAAGCAACAATAAATTGTTGGCATATTATAAGCGGTTATTTTACCAAGGTTTCACTTGGATTTTACAACGGTATTTATAGCTATAGTTGGTTAGGCACACACAATGGTATTTACACACAATAAATTCTTAATAACGGCCGTTTGTAGACGCTTATATGTATACGTAACTGACATTATTCCAATAAGAAACCAGTGACTGATATGTTCATGTTACCTTGCAGCTTAATCCTCGAGAAACAAACAGGCGCGTGTCCTCAGAAAGGAGGTGATGTATTTACATGCGTAAAATTATGTAACAACACTCGTTTGTTGCACCTAACAACACCAATGTGGTATAATGTATACGCCCTCGCGAACGGAACTGTTACGGACTGTAACGGAACTTTAAGATCTGATGATATTCCTTCACAATATTACCAATACCTAGGTTCTATAATATTAACATTATAAACGGACGGTGACGTACTGACCGAAATCATGGAGGGCACACCATATAATACAATTTTAGTAAGGGGAAAATAGGCGGTAGGGGAAGGTAATGGTATTTATGTGGGATACGTGTGTGTTATGATAAATATTGGAAATTTACGCGTAAGATCGCCCTACCACTGTGTTATACCTATCTGCCTAATGATATTTGAGTTATCGACGCTTATTGTATAAATATTCAAACACTTACCTAGCGAGTAGATCACTGCAGCTGGTTCTCCCGAGTCGTTTGTAATTCTTCATGTTCGACAGTCGATATCACGATGACAATATATGTATTTTGGTTTAAATAATCTGTAGCATTTCATATAAAATTTTCTAATTGTGACTGTTAAAATGTGCTCTCAAAATCCCTACACTCGTAGCAAGTGTACATTTAGTCAATTCGCCAATCTAATGTAATTTACGTTGACGAGCATTTTATTGTAATAAACACTTATGTTCCAAAATAGGCGTTAAAGATTCCTACATTCGTAGCAGAGTACATATAGTCAATTCGCCAACCGAATGTAATTTATAGTGATGAGTATTTGTTATTACACATTTATGCCTTGAACACAGCTCTTAAGAGTTCCTACATTTCTAGCAAGAGTACATATAGTCAATTCTCCAACCGAATGTAATTTAAGTTAAAGAGCGCTTATCACAATACTTATGTTCTAAATACAGCTCTTAAATATCCTTAAATCCGTAGAAAAGGTACAAATAGTCAATTCGCCAACCGGATGGAATTTAAGTTGATGAACACTTATTATTATATTCGTGTTCCAAAATACAAATGTGTAGTACTGATGTCACAGGCCTATAATACGATGATAGTCACAGAACTTTATGTTTTTAAGATATCAATAGATAGGTGAGTGGAAAAGATGAAGAATGTGAATTTGTTTGATAGAGAGACAACCAAATTAGACAGACATACCAAATGCTGAAATAATACAATATACATATATTGTATACGCATGTACACGCAGTTATGAGAACTCCATTCGACAGTAGTGGAAAAGTGTCATGATGTTGACTGGCGTGGACTATGCATATCTCCGGAATGGACACTGGCGACGAGTCGATTCTCTGGTAAGTGGATTCGCTGGTAATTTATGGTTTTGTGTTGACCAAACGTCTTGATCGGAGAATTATCGAAGGGGTCTTGAAGTATATGATATATATATGTATTATGTATGCGTATATATACACGTATGTATGTACGAATATGTATACGAAAGAAAGCGTTCATGATTTTATAATATTATACGGTGTTACTGACGCCGCTGATATTTGATTATGTTGTCTCCACTAAACGTCTGAAAGATGTTACTAATGATTTATTTTGCAAATGTTGCTTGTTTTCTGTTCTTATGTAAACTGTCATTTATTTTGCGTATTTCATTAGATTTATATCTAAATATTTTATAATAATAACGTATGTTAGTGACGATTTGAAAATATGTAATATTATACTATATATATTTACTTTAAAACAGTCGTGGCTTTATAAACTTCATGAACTCAAAGTGGTATATTTATTTTGTTTAATTTATATACTTACTTACTTAGTATAGTTACTAATATTACTATAATATAAGACGGTTAAGTATTTTTTTATCGATAATGTGGTCAATATGGATCGTTGATTATATTATATTATCCTATCGTGAGTTACATGGGTAATACTCACGATTTGATTATTTATTAGTATTATAGTTATAATAGTACCTAATAGTTTTTTGTCTATAATCGTCGTTATTATGTCAACTACTAATATTATACCTATATGCTTACAAAATGTATCGATTGTTGTTTGGTTTTCTTTTTCTTTTTTTACATTGAAATTCGACTGTATGACGTATACGGTTTAGTCATAATTATTATCATCACATGACTTTATTCTGGCATTAGTAGATTTATCAGTTCGTTCCTCTTTAAGACAATAGTTCTCCATTATTCGATTCCAGCCACACCTAAGTCAACACTTTCCAGATTATTCTTCAGTTATTCCATTAGGAAACTATCTTCAGACTAGACGTTTAGGTATGCGATGACGTATATGTATACGAAAAAATGCGTTCATGATTTTATAACAATACGGTGTTACTGGCGCCGCTGATATTTGATTCTAAACGTCTGATCGGAGAGGTGTTGAATATTATTTATGTGTTGCATATGCCACGTGTATATAAGAGGAGTGAATATAATGTATATATGTACCTAATGCGTGTATACGTATGTATGTATGTATTTTGGATCACCCACACTCCATAATATGGTCCGTTTTCCTTATTTGTCTCGTGTTTTATTCTAAGTCTAAATATTATATATTACACAATGCACGTCAATACGGTATAATAAGCGGTAAAGCGGTAGTAGAACCACTGCATAATTCTGGAGTAAATACCTGCAATTGATGTCACCTCGGTTTATACCACGGTAGTCTGTGTTCGATAGAGAGCCCTACGCAGGATTTAGCAAACGGCCGGATTAGAAAAGTTTTAGCCTAAGCTGACTTCTGATATTAGGAATTGGTGATACGGTGTTTTTGTCCAGAGGTATAGTTAATTACTGTCAATGAATAAATTATCACTTAATATATTTTATACCGACGCTGACCACTCGAGACGACGAGGCGAACACGACTCCCGATCTAGCAAGGAGTAGGCATCGGCGAGAAGCCGCGAGTTTACGATCATACACACAAACGATCTCGGCGATCGCAAGCCGCCCACGATACGAGGGGATCAAGACGACAAACGACTACCACCGCCGACCACACTTTCCCCCCTTTATTTTTATATACAGTTAAGTACTTTTGTTTGTTTTTTTTTTTCGTGTTTAATACATTTTTATGAAAAAGAATATTTTTGCATATAAAAGATTATTTTGATGATATTATAGAGCATAGAAGCATGTTATTTTCAAGATTTTAATCGCACATAAATCATTTATCTAGTAATATGTATCCTGAACCTAAGATATTGTGCATTTGTGCCGAACGTCGTAACTATTAAACCGCAACAGAACGATTGCAGCAAACTACATTATGAAATCGCGTGCAACACGGCGAAAAAAAAAATTTAAGTCCAACGATTTTCGTTGTTCGTGTTTCCGCACACTATTAGGTGATTTTTTAATTTTGAATATTATTTAATTCGTATTTATTCCGAAACAATAGTGTATTGTCATACGCTGTCACGCGTTAATTAGAACGACGCAATAAACATTAAATAGTAGTTCTTGCCGGTATCTATGGGTGCTCGTATCGCTTTGGTTGTTTTATGTACTTACCTATATGTTTGCTCTCCGTCACCGTCTGAAAGGCGTGTTATCGTCATGGTCAGTAAACCCGGCGAGACGAAAAACAATTAATTTTACATTAATATGTGTATATAGATGTATTATTGACAGCTGGAATCGAATTATAATGGGTTATTGTTTTAAAGGCAAACGAACTAATGTATATACATGTATGCAAGAATA